AAGTTATGGATATGATAATTGAAGCAGGAACACCGCGAGTGCACCCACGATGAACCATGTTAGTTTGAGCTGCAACAAAAGTAAGTTAGCGGTTGTGCATTTGTGTATATATGTGCGGGCGTACTCGCACGCAAACAAGGACTGTATAACTACGTTCCAGCTCGTTACGGCTCCTCCGTCACATACAGTTTTGTACTTGTCATTTGCATATTTTTCTAAGTTGCTTTCATCACAACATCCGTCCTTGGCTTACTTCAGGTGTAACTAAAGAAGCTGATTGGTCCTCTCTGCGCAAAGCTCCTGCACCCTGGGCAGAGATGGAGTTTGAGAACATCATCCTTACTGTACCGTCACACCTCATTCGTGACCTGGAGAACGTTCTGGAGGTGGAAAAACTCTGGAATGGCATCATGAAGGGTGTTGCAGATCTGGCCGTCATTCCACAAAAATTCATCCGCAAAGAACGTATCGTGGCTGATGTGCAGATTTCTGCAGGTAAGGATGCAGGAAATGTAAATCATCTAACTTCCTTTTACATTGATGTGTTGGCATATTTAGGATAAATAATTCTGCAGGAATTTCTTGTAATCTTGGTCAAGTAGCTTAAAGTGACAAATCCAAGTAATAAATACAAATAAATAATGTCTATCAAACAATAAGGTAAACACAAATTGTAATTTTAATATTTAAGGTTTCCATAGAAAATGAGTTTTAATATAACTCAAGACACAAGTTTTAACACATAAAAACACAACAGAATCCTACTAATATCACCTCAGGGGCTTCTTTTTTCTAGATATCTCAAGAGAGTCATATGGTTTTATTCAAAATCATTAAATTTAAGGTGGAGAAAGAAGACAACACTGTTGCTGTGAGGAAAAAAGCTGGCTGAAAATGAGAAAGATGTTGATTATTTTCTGATCTTAGTTGAACTGAAATCAGAACTAAATTGTGTTTTCTCCTCCCAGGTTGGATGCATGCAGGCTATCCCATCATGATGCACTCATCCGCAGGAGCTGAGCTGTTCAACCCACAAGATGCCCGGACCAAAGGTCTGTGGGGAGAAATTCATGAACTGGGGCACAACCAGCAGAGAAGCCCCTGGGAGTTTCCACCACACACTGGAGAGGCCACATGCAACCTGTGGTCAGTGTATGTGCATGAGGAGGTGCTGGGACTCAACAGAGAAAAGGTGACTTATCTTTTAGTTTGTTGAGTATTGAGTTTTATCCATTTATGACTATTTTTGCCTCAACTAATCACATCTCCCACATCACAGAGAAAAAGCAAGAACAGCAGTTCAGGAATTATGAACAGTAACTTTTTGTTGTTGAACCACAAATATTCTTCACATCATACATCAGCCTGTATATATTGAGCACTTTAGCAGATCAGACTTGTACTGTGAAGATGGAGACATTTATATGTTTGTTTCATTGACATATTATCAGATTGACATCACATAATTTTATGGAAAAGCCTCACAAAGTCATCTACTGTAGCGACAAGTAAGAGGGAAGACTTTAAGATATTTATGTTGCAAGTCTAGAATTGCCTTTAGACTCTCTGTACATGTTGCAACAAACATGAATCTGGTAACGGTCAGATGATGTTTATCTAAGTCACAGAGTGAACTTTTGCTACCTTTATCTAAAATAAAATCAATGTCTTTAAATCAGGCTAGTAGGAACATCACCTCAGCCAAACGGAAGCGCTATATAGAGGAATACGTTAAAGGAGGCAAGAATCTCAGCGACTGGAACGTTTGGACTGCCCTGGAGACATACCTGCAGGTTAGAGAAAAAACAAATAAAAGTAATTTAAAGGAAAATCTGT